TCATGAGAACTATATAGCTGACAATAGGGAGAATTACTAATGAGATCTTGGAAGTTAAAGGGTTAAGAAATGTAAACAAAAGAAGCCGGCCTGGAGTGCTACTTTTGTGACAACAAATAACTTTCTCTGATGCTAAAGAATGAAACCTCCTCCGCTGTACTCAACTCTCTGAAAAACAACAATGATAATATAATAATATTTATACATGAATAATTGTATAGAGAAAATTAACTCACTTATGTTGTAGTAAACAAGGAGTTTGAAGTAACATTGCAAAAACACATTTTAAAAGAGTAAAAATTCAGACAGCAACTTGACAAACTACCTATACATGGCAGTTAAAAGGTGTCACAAAAACAGGGGAAAGTGCTCTCTTACTCCCATACAAGGCATCAACTGAATAAATATTTGGTTTCAATAATGATGTAACAATTCCGCAAGATAGCAAATTGCTGTACTTTTAACACACTCAGGATACGAAAAAGTCTTCTCCCTAGTACATGGTTTTCTGTATCCAACAATAAAGTGATTAGAAAGAAACAAACTCACAGTCTTGTGTGCCATGAATGCCAACCAGTCTGATGTGGCAGTTGGTAAGAGTCCCATGGAGTGACATTTGTAAAGCGCCAGTGCAACAAGAGAAAGGTTTCCAAGAAGATAGAAAAATTTTTGAAGAGCAACATGGTCATGTTCTCCTTCAAGAGATACAAAAGCTGAAAAAATAACAAAATAAAACAAATTAATGAGGTAAGGCTAAACTTCAGCCATCACTACCAATAATAATCCTTTTTGTTTTTAAATTGCCCCAACAGAGCCAAAGAGTACTTACTTGATTTGATGGCTAGGAGAGCTTTGACTGGCCTCAGGAACATCATACCCACCATCATGATTGGGAAAATAGAAATAGAATTACCCGCCATGTACATAATAAACAGATTCATTGGAACTTGCTTGAATGGTCCAAGAGCTATATCCCAAGATTTCTGAAAGTGAAAAATTCAAAATTACATCTGTTGTTAATTGTGGAGGGAACTAAAAAAAATGTGTGCTAAAGAAACTATTCTATGATTTTTAACTATATATTCAAAAGAAATGTAAAGATTTATTTCCTCTTGAACTTTGAGACTCCAAAGAGGAACCCAAACATGACCTAAATTTCTTCAAATGAGGAACTATGTGACTCTTGGAAAATCACAAGATGGTTCTCACACGCTTTAAAATAAACCTATGTAAATAGCATATTTGAACATCTTTAAAAATCCCTGATGAATATTATGAAGTGTACCTTTGCCACAAGGTGAGTGCTATTTGCCTCTCGTGATTCCTAATACAAAAATAAGACTTCAAATTAAAGGGGCTCTGTCGCAATACACATCATTAGTAGTGTCAGAGTTTGCTGCACTAGTATTTTATGAAACTCTACCATGCAAAATAAAGAAATCGGTTTACAGTTTAACTGATTACGGTTTTTGAGCCGTTAAATTTACTTCAATCCAACCCTTACACTATTTGTATTGTTGTGTGTATACACGACAAAATGCAATACTCTCTAAGTTCCCAAATAATGTCACAAAGAGTCTGAAAACTTACCCAGGAATCCGACAAAATTCTAAGAAAAGAAAAAATTATACAAACCACATGCTGAACTTTGTGCTCTGTGTACCCAAGTGGTGCTGGAAGCTCACTATGCTGAACAAACTGTCTATCGGGCACATAACGAGGTCTGGGGGAACAAATTTACCATAAACGTTGGGAACGAAAATACAAAACCTCTCATTTGTCTACAATAAAAGCTTAAGCTGTTACTTAAAGGACAATCACAAGTTACACAACAAATAAAATAAAAGAGCAGTCGGTGAAAATTTCGAGATCGTACCGACTAGTCAAGTCTATTGCCCACTTATTCGTTAGTCTTCGCGACATCGCACGGTTCGCCATGTTGGATGTTGTAGTATCTAACTGTACTCGCGCAGGGTCTGGATATGAATAGTACAAACAAACATGAAAGCGAGACGGGTTCAGTGGTAGACTCAACACACCAAAACATTACTTTATGGTGTCGCTTTATGCAAAGTTATGTAAGAAAATACCGGGAAATCGGCTGTAAAACGTGCTTTACGAGTCCTTGCTTAATTCAGGACTGAGTATGGGCAGCCGAAATACACGTGGCTCCAGGAGGGAGGTCGAACAGAATCGAGATGAATCGACGTCAAATCCCGGTGTTACTGAAGATGCGGATAGCGACGACAACGAATCAGACCTTGTGAGCGTGCTTGCGTTTCTGCTTCGTAGGTAAGAAGCCTTCTAGTTTTCCACTGCAGTTAAATTATTTAGTGATTTCGAGTTTACATAATAAGGTTTCTTTTTCAATTATCTCATTCTTTTATGTTTTTTTGAGTGTAATGAAGTGTACTTCGAATAGGAAAAAGTAACATTTATACAGATTCGTATTTCACGTATCCGATAATTAGATTAATGCTTTAATCGGAGTTTTAAAGAATAAATGGTAGTCGAGGTAATATAATAGATAGAAACATTTTTGTTACAAGTTGTTTTGATTGGTTCTTTCTTATGCTCTATTGGAGGACAGACGCGAAGATGACGTCACCATAGACAACAATTTACTTTTTAATCACATAATACAAAGAGTTTTTATCTTGCAGCAGGTCTGTACAGCGATAGATCACAGATGATGTCAAAACGTGGTTAGAAAATCAATGACTGTAACTCATGTACCACTTTCATGTTCTTACCACATTTTGACATTATCTGTGATCTATTACTGAACAGACATGCATCAACATAGAACCTATTTGTCAATAACATTTCTGTAAACTTAGTTATATTAAGTATCAAGACCTCGAAAAAAAAAGAATAAGAGTCTTGAGTAATTGCACATTTACTGTAGTTATACTTCAAAAGTAATGCAACTGCTGTACTGTGAGCACTCTTTTTCAAGTACTAAATTTCCTTGAAAAAGCATGAGCTACTTATTCAAAATTTCACTTAAGAGGAGAGGTGCTTGTTGCCAGGAGGGCACATAATTGAAGGGGGCGCTTATTGAGTCTATGCAGCAATAGCACAAAAAATTTAAAGCACAGATAATGCATAGAAAGGAACTCTGCAAGCATATGGAGATAGAAAAGAAGCTATTCTCATGTACTGCTTCCACTTGAGTCAAAGCTTAAAAAGTTATAATTGAAAAGGGTTTTCCTATGTAGGAAAGTGAGGGTGGAGGGGTGGAGGGGGTGATTATTCAAGAGGGTGCACATTTGACATCATGGCCAAGGTGTTTAGCACCTATTAGGGGAAGGGCACATATGTGGGCACTTAGTCTAATAAATATGCTGATTATATCAAGGGAGAGATTTGGAACAGCCTAATCAGTCTGTCAGTCCATCAATCTGTCTGTCTATTGGTTAGTCTGTCTTTGAGTCTGTCTGTCTGTCTCATTGTCAGTCATTCTGTCAATCAATCAGCTTCGACTTCAAATTAATATCAATGTCAGTTTTATTCAGTGAGATTTTCAGCGAATCAGTTTAAGTCTACTCTGCTACTCTACCTTCACACAATTATGTTAGTCCATCTTCATTAAATTCTACTTTCTTGAATATTGTCTCCAGTGGTCAGGCTCGGCTTGTGCGTGCTACCACTGAGGGAGGCAGTGGGATCCACATCATTCATGGCATGTCGTCAAGCGACAGTGATGATGATGAAGATTTTGATGAAGATTTTGCTTATCACAATGGTAAAGTGGCCAGTCCTCCAGGTATTGTTGACCCCTGAGCTCCCAAAAATGATTACTATGTATCTTCTCCATACATTATTGGTACATTTTACAGCAAACAGGTTGCGAGAAAATGTGAAACTATAAAAAAGATGTTATATTCCATTTATTTGAAACAAAATCCCTTTATTAAATTAGAATAGATTAATGTCTGCTACAAGAGAGTATTAGTCATTCAGAACTTGGGAGCAAAAACACTGTATCAAAGCAATTATAACAATCCATGCAAATAACTTATTTTGCTTCAATTTTTCTGTCAGTGATATTAATATGATCAAAATTTAATCCAGTCTAACCCAGTTTTCTCTGTTTTTCTCTTTAGTTGATCCAAATCCTAATACTCTAGTTGTTGATGTAAGTTATAGGATAATTATGTTTGTTGTTGTTCTTTTTTTTCTCTGGTCTGAATTTTTTTCATTGCTATAATTATAACTGGCCCAGAATACTGATTTTGAGACATAGGAAAACCAAAATTAATGCTTCTTTTAAGATTTTTAAACCCAAGAAAAATTTAGAACACAACAGCTATTAACACAGTTTTGAAAAATGAGTGCATCTAGATTTGTAATTTTTTTAATACTCTGCTTTCATATTTAGACATCAGGAAGTTTTAGTGGCTATAACTATGAGAGAACTGTTTTCTTTAAACTTTTTTCCTTGTATTTTTTAATTTATCACTTGCAGCAAAGTGTGTTTAAACTGGACACATTATTGTCAAGTGGTCAAATTTTAGGTGGTCAAAATATTTGTTCAAGGCTTCACAGGGTAAGTGCTGATAATATTCCACTTTCTAACTGTTTTGGAAAATCTGGAAGGTTAACTAAGTCTAATGGGCTGAGTTGCCAGCAGCTTACAATGCCATCTCAGATTTCCATGGCATGAGATGACCACTGCCCTTGAACAGGATGCTAGCTCACTGCAAGACCTACCACCCTTCCTTCCCCTCTGCCTTTCCCCCTTCCTTCAACACTCTGTCTGGTCTCATTAAAAATCTATTGACACCCCTTATTAGAGAAGGCTCTCCTTAGTGTCTTGCCCAAGAACATGGCAAAATGAGTTAAAAAAGACTCTTATCTGGGTTATGGTATCCCACACCATTCATTTTAAGTTGGAAACCACTAACCAAATCTAAGGTATCCTTTGATAACCTTTGTGGACATTTTGCAGAGAGAAAGTTCCCTTCATAATCGGCCAAACTTTACCTCTAGTGACAAGGCTGCGGCTTCAGCCAAGTAAGTAAAAAGTAGATTTACTCTTGAACAAATTGAGACTATGGGGATTTCCAGAGGGGTGACAATCAGTGATGTAAAAATGATCCTTAATTGAAATGACATGAAGTTCAAGATAAAGTGAAGGTCAACTGAATTAAGTTTGTGTTAGGGAGGATCGGTTTTACTCTGATCATCACTTTTTAGTAGTTATACATGTAAGTAAAGATCTTTTCATACAGTATGTTAAATGATATTGCTTGCTATTTTTTCCTGGAAGACAGTTTACACAGCTTTGAAGTCTCCCGATAATTTTGTTTATCAACTGAGTTGATGATGTAAATTGGTCACCTTACACAGTTTCCAATGCTGAGGAAGGGCTAATATTTGAAACATCTGCTTTTATATAAACTCTGTACAGTGACCAATTTACATTTTCAACCCAGTTGATCTGAAGTCTCTACTCTCAATATACAGTCTTACATCATAGTTACAGCCAACCTTTCAATTCTCATACAGCAGTGACTGGAAATAATGCAACAGAGAAACCCAGAGGCTTTTTTCACCATAATTGTGTTCTATAGTCAAGTCATTGGCACATGGCAGTGAAAACTAGTGGAAGACTGTTAGTAGACAGTACACTTGTATCATGGTTTTAGAATAGTTTTGTTTCCTTTTTGCAGTTATATCCCCAACAAGAAAGCAACAAAAGCTCAGTTTCTCCAAAAGCTGTTTTGTGGCCAGTATTCCAGTGATGGAACAGTATTTCTTTCAGCTTGTCAAGGTTTGTGATAATAATTAAAAGATAATGATCATCAACAAACTGTTTTGTCTTCATATTTTAACCCTTAAAACCCTAAGATTGGCTGGCATCTATTTTTGCCTTACAGTAATACTGCAGCTGAATCATTCATTATCTTGAGAATAAAGGAAATGATCACGAATAGACACTTTGATTGTTGGACAAATTCTCCTTGTTAGCACCAAAGGAGATGTAAAAGAAAAGAGTTTGGAGAATATGGGTACTGATGTTAGGGCATAAAGAGTTCATCCCGTTTAATTGCAATTATTATAACGATTCAAACATCACTGCCTTGTCAATTTTCTTAGGATTTTCCTAGATTTTCCTAGATTTTAATCAGCCAATCTCCTCCTAGGATTTGTTCAGAGAGGAATCTCCTAACTGGTGACTTTTTTCACTTCCTACAGATCAAAACATCCGTCTGTACGACACAACCCATGGACAGTTCAAAGAGTTTCGAAACATAGTGGCAAGAGACGTAGGCTGGAGTATAATAGACACGGACTTTAGGTTTGAAATGAAGTGTTTTTTTCCTTTTATGTATTTACATAAAAACCGGATAAAGTTCAAGATAACATGCAATTCCACCAGTTTAATTTATCCAGCTCTTAGTTGGTTTCTACTATTCTCCAAGGACTTAAGAGTTTGAACTTCAGTTTAATGCTTATTATTAATATATTTGTTTCTTTTACTAGCCCTGATCAGCAATACCTCATATATTCTAGCTGGTCTGACTACAGTAAGTTGAAGAATAGTATGATACCAAAATACCATGATAACAAAACTTCCATTGATGGAACAAATCATTGCTACATTATGGAAAAGAATCAATCATTGAAGTTAAAATTTGTTGTTATAAAATGATGGTTATGAGGTACTGAGTCCAAGGACAAATTGAACAGGTATTGGCTGTGTCCCCATGTTGAATTGTTTGATGTGTTACAGTTGCCACTATTATCTGCACAATCCTCTTCCAATTAAAGCAAACAAAAGTAATGAACTTTTCTCTGATCATTACTATCTAACCATACAAAGTCACACAAACCAAAATAATACCTTCTGGGTAATTCAAGCATCAATATACTGCTGGTAATTGTGGACAGGGTTTTTTAGATAATGGGTCTTCTTTTCCTTAAATGGGATATGGGATATAAAATTTTTCAGAAAAAACCCTTTTATAATGGGTAATTAGCTGGTTGATAATTAGTGATTGAATGATAACAACTTTGAAAGTTGGGTTTATTTTCAGATGTGGTGGTATGTTTTAGTACAAACTTGGTACTTGATTGAAAAAATTATTCTGTAAACCTGCTGGATTTTTGGTTCTCATTGTTTCAGTAAATGATGATAGATACAAAAATACAAGATAAAGTGGAATAAAAATCAAACTTACTATGAAATACAGAATCAAGGGAAAATTTGAACTACAACATATTAACCACAAACTAACATCAGATAAGCAGACAAGTCTTTCTAGGTGATAAAGACAATAACTGTGTTTTTATAACTTTTTAATGCTCTCGATTTTTTAGTTCATCTCTGCAACATTTATGGTGACTATGAAACACATGCAGCTTTATGCTTAAAGTAAGTTACTTTCTCCTTAATTTATCCTTCTAAACTTGACAATTTTTCAAAATGTGCATAATGTGTAGGGAGGTCTTTTAACAGTTCAGGGAGAATTTAGATATCCAGTCATTTTTGCTCCTGGACATTCAATCTTCAGTTGATTTGAACCCAAGTGTTGACTAACCCAGTTTGTGTTGGCTCGTTCCCAACCTGCTGGTCAATTTGTACCCATCCCAATGTTCATTAATTTGGTAATGAAAACCCAGGAGAACTTGTATGAACATAAAAACATACTGTGGGTATGAAACAAAAAGATGGACTGGGTACAAATGGAGCCTAGCTGGGGACAAATAAACTTAGTAGGAAAAGTTGGTGTGTACAAAAAGTCTGGTAAGGCCTCCTCTCTTGCCATTTTGGATGGCTAAAAACTCAGGGTCTAATTGGGTCTGATCTAGTGTTCCCCAACTGTATGTAATATCAGTGAGAAATTGATTTAAAAGCTAGTGAAGCTTGAAATTTTCTAGGCCCCATTTTCTGTAATTTCTGTAAACCTAGTAAAGAACAATTTGTTTATTTATGATCTCATTCTCCCCTCTAGCCCAGAAGATTCAAGATTTTGTGCATTTTCAATAAAGTTTTCTCATGACAATAAAGAAATTTTAGCAGGGTTAGTATTCATACTCTTGTTAAAGATGAATTCTTACTTAGTGTTGCCATTCTGAATCACAAGAGAGTAACAAGAAATCAAACATTAGTTATGACATCTCAAAAAAATGACAAAAACTTGAATTTTGATAACATTGTATCATTTTCAAGAAATACCTGATACATGGTACCTGTGACTGGTCACACAAACTAAACCTGTACTCCTGGAAGAATCACTGCTTAGAAATCTCAGGTGTCATGATTTTAAAGTTCTTGAAGGCTATGGTATATGCATATAAGTCCCCCAGAGAAAAGAGGCAGTGACTTGTGGCATTAGAGGCACCAGAGGGTTGACTTGAGCTTAATCTTTACAGCCACCCTTTACAGGTTGTCATGTATATCTGTTACATTGATTTCCTGTATGCATTGTGTTTAGAGCCAATGATGCTGCCATATATGTGTATGATCGAGAAAGTAATCAGCGGACTTTGAGGGTGAGTACTCTTATACTAAGTCTCTGAAATTAGTCTTGAACAAAACCATAACAAAACTCTTGAACATGAGTGGTTATTAGGACAATAATCAATAATCAAGAGGCAATAAATGAAGATTACTCAGTTCTTCTCTGTAAGACATGTTTGATGATAGTTATAAATTTTGTAGCCCTTTGCTGGACATTCTCCAGGAGGGCTTGATACTTGATAGCTTAAGAATTTTTTCACTAACTTAAGAATTTCTTATAGCTATAATGAACCTTGAATGTATGATTAATAATCAATTATTACTTGAGACAAACTATAATTACAGAACTACTCAGACAAGTTATTGTGTTTCTTAGCTAAGAGTGAATAGACATTTCTTTATTTCTTTATTTCTCCATTGTCCCTTTTGAACTGCAGGTCCATGGTCATGAAGATGATGTAAATACAGTAGCATTTGCAGACGACAGCTCTCATATTCTGTTCTCTGGAGCAGACGATGGTCTCTGTAAGGTTTGTGTATCAGAAATTATACTTTGAAATAGAATTAAACCTTAAATGGACAAGTTCTTATGGCAGAATAAGAAACAAATATTTTAATGGCAAATATAGCAATAGCTTGTAGGTAAGAGCTATTTTTAATGTAGTCGGGAAAATAATCAGAAATTGCATTGATTATGCTGCACTACACTCTGAAATTGGTCCTGACCACTTGTGCCATTCCTTTGACCAATCCAATGCAAAAACTGAAACCAATTGCAACTTGGTCACCTTCACTTTATGGTATGTCTGGAACGTTGATTTCCCTAGAGTTCTAATTGACTTTTTCGGACAGACACTTTGGCCTGTTGGTCAGTGCACTGGACTTGCTTTTTCTGAGAAAAACACTGTACTCGCACAGTGGAAGTCACCTGGGAGTACAAATGGGTACTGGCAAATTGTCAGGGAAGCCTAATAAAATGCTGGGGGTAAGCTTGCAATGGACTGAAATCCCATCCACGGGGCAGTAGTAATACAACTAGTCACTTTATGTGAAGGAAACTGTGATCAGGCGATCGCTGGGTGGGCCAATAGGCTGAATGGCTATAGTGATGACAGTAATTTTTTTTGCTAGTTGTCTTGATTAAAATACAATTTATAACAGTGATGATTTTGTTAGGAATTATTTTTTAAGTGTTGATGTTGTCCTGCTGAACTTAAAGGAAATATAACAATTGATGTAGGGATGAAAGACCAGAAAAGAGCATTTTTCTCTTATTTTGAAACAATTTTATGTAAAAGTTATAGTGTTGGACACATTAATGTATGCATATAACCCTTATTATCTGCTTTTACAGGTCTGGGATCGCCGGCAGCTATCTGAGAATTGCCCATGCCCAGTGGGTGTTTTAGCTGGACATGCTGATGGTATCACCCACATTGACCCAAGGGTATGTTACATCTTGTTTGAAGTCCCTAAACACAGAACCTGGCTTGCATCATGTGCCTGACCTTGCTTGTCTAACAGTTGCATTTATCTCAATTGATTACTGCTGTGTTCATTAAATGATGTTTTATAGGCCTTTTAAAGCAGTTACTGTGTGCTGTGTCTTGAAGGTGCATGGGTTAGTGAAAATGTTTCCTGTCTGATAGTAACTGTTTTGCTTATTTCAGGGAGATGGACGGCACCTTATCACTAACTCCAAAGACCAGACAATCAAATTGTGGGATATGAGAAAGTTTTCTGCTGAGGAAGGCATCAGTGTGAGTGTTTCTCCCATGAGTGACCAAGAGAGTATTTCTCCTTACAGTGTCAATGCAATATCAAGCAGACAAGTGATGAGAATAAAGAAAAATAGCCATAAGGGGATTTTTATTTGATCCAATACTAAATTCTCCAAACTAACATCATATGAATGGTATGGCAGACAGTAAGGAGAGTTACTGATGAGATCTTGGGAGGGAAAGGGTTTATAAAGTTTCCATCACTTTTTGCTCTTCATTTTCCATTTTGATATTGGTGAAGGCAGATGAATTAGGTAACCCTTTCACTCCTAAGGTCCTGTTTAGTAATTCTTCTTACTGTCTGTCACACAATTCTTATGATGTTAGTTTGGAGAATTAGGTATGGATCAACTAATAATATAATCCCCTAATGGATCTTTTTCTTTAAATCTCATCACTTTTCAGCCAGATATTGTAGTTAGTGTATCAATATTGTAAGGAGAAATTCTGTCTTGGTCACCCATGGGAGTTAAAGGGCGAAACATCTTTGAATATTTGATAGCTTTAGAATTTTTTCACTAACTTAAGAATCTTCACATCTTTGGTAAAATTTGTGTACTTGTTACTTCCAATTATTTTAATGAAAACTAAAAAAATTGACTGAAATACTACTGTCAGTCACACTGCACATCATGGTAAACAATTGAGATATTTTAGAATGTTGAAAAGGACATGTTATGAGTTTTTGTAATGGAAATAGGAAGCAAGTGTGATATTTGCTTGACTCAAGGGATCTGAAGGAAAAACAGTGTAGACTGGTCGAGTGAGCACAAAGAAAACGGAGAAAAATAAAAGGAAAGGCAATTAAGGGCTGTGTGAATGTTGTGAAATAGTTGTCAGAGAATTGTGACTGGAGAAATTTTAATCCAATTTTTTTTTTCTCTGTCTATTGTGATGATGATTGACAACTGCATGAAACAAAGTGAGAAATTTGTCTCTGAGTTCAGACTTTCAAAAACTGCAAAGGGACAGCTCTTACCAAAAGCAATTAATCTTTTACAGTTAGGTTTAACACATATGAGAAAAAAAATAAACCTTGTGCCTCATTGTTATGGCTAATGCTTCCTGCCTGGCAACTTTCTTCAGCTGTTGGGATATGGTGATGCTGATTCAAACCTTTGCATTTGCCTTGCAGGCTACAAAACGTGCTGTAGCTGGTCAGAGGTGGGACTACCGCTGGCAACCAGTCCCACGAAAATGTAATTTTATTGTGTTGTCTAGCTTAGTTGTTGTTCCTCTTTTTTAGTGTGGTGTGTCATTTAGTACAATTGTGTTCCAAGTAAATTCTCTGTTCTTCCTTTTTGCTGACCTAAGCTGTAAGACGTTCCAAGCTGGATGGTGATTCATCTGTCATGACTTATCGTGGCCACAGTGTCTTACACACTCTTGTTCGCTGTTACTTCTCACCTCTCCGCACCACAGGACAGGTAATTTAATCCTGCTACCAGTAGAGGGCTTATTATATGGCCTTCACTTTCTCAAGAAGATCAAGCAAGGGCAACTGTTGTAATGACAAATAGTTGTAATGGCCTGTTGAAATAAAGAATGTGTAAAATTGTGAGCAAGTGCTTATTACTGGAAAAAGCGCACATCTATAATGAGTCTTAGCTCTGCGTGATACAATGCATGTGTGAAATTTTTTTAGCATGCCTGAACAGTGAATATTGAACTTGCCAGTATTTCAAAAATTTCTGTTTTTTTCCAGTTAGATTTTTCTCTTTTCTACAATTGCTTAAATTGCAGCCTATAGAGGGGATCATTGCATTACTTGATTTTTATCTGCAGGTCAAATGAAATTTATTTCATTAAAAAATGATGGTCAGATTCTTCCATAGGAAAGAAAGAACCCTCTTAGGTAAAATCCTGTAAAATGTGTCTTCTCCCAACTTGTGGCCTCATGGTTAGTATCTGGGAGGCACAAGTTTGAATGCTGAATAATTCCTGACTAACTCAGGCTTCTTTTTCTGCTTTAATTTGCTAAAATTGCAGCTTTTGATTTTGATATTTTTCTTCTTTCTTTAGCGATATATCTACTCGGGATGTTCCACTGGTGCTGTTGTTAGTAAGTGCCACATTACTGACTGTATTCAGTAACTAAAGGTAGAAGTTAAATCAAAGAGTTGGTAACAGTTTTTTTCTTCTCTTTGTGGTCACAAAATGGATAACTTTTAGTAAAATCTTTTTTGTTTTTGTTTGTGTGTAGTTTATGATGCATTGACTGGAAAAATAATCTCCAGACTGAGTGGACATGTATCCTTTTGTGCTGACAAAGCAAAAAATTGATTGCCTCAGGGAAGGGGGGGAAAAAGGTTGGTAAGCAAGAATGCAGGGAGAAACTCACCAGGCATATGTTTATCAGGCATATGACAAGCAAGAACATTTTCACAACTTAATTTTGGTCTAAAGATATTTAGGCAATAGACTACACTTCCTATTAGTTTAACAGTATAATAACCCACAAAAAAACTTGTAAATCACCTGCTAGAGGTAAGTGATTTACAGTGGCAGTATTGTAGGCTATATATTGTCTAAGGTTTTTTTTTATAGTATTTCCCAAATATTTTTTTCTTTTGAAATCTGCCAACAACCAATATACCATTTTTGGCAACCATTTAAAAATCTTCTCAATGAATAAATTCTTTAAAATGAAGAGCAAACTAGAGAAAAAAAAACATTTTTTTTTTCATTTACTCTAGAATTGGTATGCCAAAGGTTTAAAACTTCCAAGCCTAAGCAAAAATGATAACAAGACCTCCAAAAAATTGCCAGAAATCAGCTGTGCACTTAGCTCTTCAATGAGATTGAGAGAATAGTTTCTTCTAAAGTACATTTTGCTCACCTTGACTAATATACAGAGATCAGCAGTGCGAGATGTGTCATGGCACCCCTATGAAAATGAGATTGTCAGCACCTCGGTGAGTAGTCAAGTTCCAAGCAATAATTCTGTAACTGTAGAATCCAGCTAGGGCAATAGTGCCATTCAATTTACTCTTTCACAAATTTAACCCATGCATGTCCCTCAGCAGTGTGAAAGTTCATGTGAAAGTTCATGGTCAGGGTAGAAGGTCATGTTCATGTGAAATGCTTAATATTGCCATTTGTCAGAATTAATGAAACACAATTGATGAATTTTCACCTTTCCATGCCTGCACTTGTTGCTGTGCAGAGGACATTGACAGGAAGATTCAAACAGCATTTATGCAATTGTGCAGGTTCTCTGATGAACATTTACCACAATTTAAACATATTTACAGAATATTCAAGTCAATAAATAATTAAAGCACTAAAACAAAATTAGGATGAACACTTTTTTTAAGCAGGAACAATTCTACTGCAATAGCTATAACTTATAAGACACTTTGATGTGTAGTATACTTGCTGAATATTTTTAAAAGATGTGCAGTATTTTGACAATTCCACTGCAGGGTGTTAAATAGAAACAGCAAGTTATTTGTGTTCTACTTCATGCAGTTGGATAATAATTCATTAACTATCTATCTAGATACAACTGTCATGTTACTATCTCTCATTTTACCATCTAATAGTATTTATCTGTCATTTTGCTTTTTAATAGTATTTATCTGTCATTTCTAATAAAAAATTCTGAATATAAACAATGTAATTTTATTACAAGTTTATCTCAGTAATGTCCATCATATGTGTGAAAGAGGCCTTTGATGGTGATGTCTCTAATTCTAAGGTTTTCAGAACACAGGATTCATAAGGTATTGGTAGTCTTAAAGAAAAAGTTTCTTAATACCGTGCCTAATCTATTCTTGATCTCTGTTATAGTGGGATGGAACACTTGGCTTGTGGAGATACAAAAGGCCAAATGATGAGGAAGATAATAAAGAAGAAGAGGAACCAGAACCCAAGCAGCAGTCTGTGGGGCCCTGTCGTCGCTCTATTCGTCTCAGAAACCTCATACATGTATAAAATCACAAAACTTATTACAAATTCAGTGTGATTTAAAAATTCCATAACATATTCTCTTGTGGGCGTTCACATTTTTTTCTCTGGTCCATAAATGTTTACTTAAGTAAGCAGCAAAACAGGTAACTTTCACCTAAAGATGGAATTACAGTCTCTTCACATGAGCTTGGTTGACCAGGCTGTCTCAGTTTGCAGTACGTATTCTCACCATCTCTTTGAAATTTCATTGAGTTCACATGAGAAAATTTTCATGGAACAATAACTGGGATGAAGAAATGTAACATGGGAGTGGAAGACCAAAAATGTCCTGCTAACTATGCCATCCTTGTTGTGGGAATTAAAGGAAGATGGTTGTTGTCTTTTCTGTACATACGGTTTTGTACTTGGTGTAATTTTTTTTCATTGGTCAAAACGCGAACCAGCTCTCAATATACCCAATAGTGTAATTTATGTTGAGTATAGGAAGCAATTTTTGGACAAAATTATTAAATAAATTTTGCTAGGACTGCGTGTAATCCAATGCTGTTTGTAATCATATTAGTGATGTGTGTAAACCATGAGCATTATAATTACTGACAGAATTGGATGACACAAAGTCATGTAGTTAAAACTGAAAAAATATGAGAAATAAACTACTCACTGATTGAGCAATTAACTCTCTTCCATAAGAATATGAACAACGTAGGCTATTTAAATTCGGATACAAATCAGGCCTAGTACCCAATCTTGCACAGGTATGGCACAAGAACTACCCCATCACACTGTTCAGTTACAGGCATGAGGCATACTTTGTGTCATTAATAATGGTAATAGGACCGAGTGGAGTCCAATTTGGTCTGTAATCATACGAGTGATTAACAAAATCAGACAATCACAAAGCAGGAGTCTGATTTGTTTACCATGAGTATGATTACTGACAGAATTGGACAACATGAAATCCTGTTACCAATTAATCATAACCATTTCAATTTCTGAAAAAACAAGTACGCCTAGAACAAATATCTCCACTGGAGACAATGTCTTTAGTTAAATATTCCTCCATTTTAGAAATTGCCTTGTTTTTCTTTGGATAAATGGTTGTTGCTATGGTTATTGTGATCAATTCTGTGATTGGTGGATTAAGCTGAGTGGACCTAGTATGATTGGCTGCTTCCACTGTCCAATTACAGGTGTCTGATTACAGCCAACTGTCCAATTACAACTGTACAGACTGATTAGTGTAAAATGAAACAGCTGATGCACCAATCACATTTGAGGAAATTGTAATGGTTATGACTAGTGCTTAAATCGTGCTAATGATAACCAATCATTGTCAAGTATTTCATTCACTTTCTTCATAGTCTTGATTGATTTTAGAATACCTTTGAAACAGGCCAAACACATGTAATAGTAAGGAAATTGCTGGTGTCATAAAAGGAACACTCTAAACAGCTACACAAGGTTTATAAACAGTAACAATGGACTTTTTTTAATGTTGTGAGTTGTATTACAAGGTAATATTCTTATCCCACTTAATAGTAACAAAATGAAAAATTGCTAAAAGTAGTGATTGTGACTAGGTTTAAAAATGTGGTATTTAATGTTTAAAATTCTAAAGTTGATTTTTATATTTGTTGTAATGAACTTGAAACAATAGAGACCTTAAGCAATGAAGACAAGGCAAAACGGAAGATGAAATGAGTAGAACAATAGCTTAGTATGTGGGTTTTTGAAACTTTGTACATTTCTCAGCCATCCTCTGCAGAACAATAATTTGAAATCATCAAAATTTACAAGGTCTGAGAACAGAAACCCTGGTGGCAAATTATTTAAGTTTCCATTTGGAATTATCTTTTCTCCACTCACATTTTACTGATGTTACTGTGTGATACTGTGACAGACAGTACAAACATCTAGCCTTTTGCCAAATTCTTCCTGAAAATATAAAATAATTTATTTTTTAATCAAGGTCTTCCTCAAGGTTATTGCCATGACTGCTTAGGGCCCATAGTTTCTCTGTCATTACTTTCCAGCATTGTTTTGTACAAAATCGAATCAAAAGAATGTAGTCATACAATTTAACCATGGGTCAGTGTAAAATTAAAGGTTCAAGTGTGATGTACCCTTTGATGTTCACTGTTTTGAGTCCAGTCACTTAATGGGGTTACAGGGTTGAAAGACGTCAGTCAAAATTGTTTTTACTTAATTAATACTGTTGAAATACTATGACAAACCATTGTTGAAGAAGATAAAATCAACTTTATTCTCCTGATATTGTCTTGTCTGTGGATGTGTACAATGCTAATAAACTGCAAACAGCATAAAAATACCTCTTGATCCCATTTAAGAAAATAATATAGATACACTGAACAACAATTTTAAACAGAAAAATTGTTAGTGAAGTTATTCCTCTACATCAATGCAATACCATGAGAGTTAGAGCAAGTAAATGAATCTTTGATATTTGACTGGCAGTATGCATAAGGTTTGGGGAAAAAAGTTGGTTTTTAGTGGATCTGGGTTGTTGGGTTCTGTCCCATCTACATCAAATCTAACTTTGATTTAAGAGAGAATTTTCATTTTAGTGAACAGGTGTGCAAGGCTTTGATGCATCAGTGTAAGGCAAATTTCTTTCTTTGATCCAGGATAGCCTGAACAATGCAATAGATAAGTGAGCTTTGCAGAATGTGGTATCTTTGCTAAAGCTCATGATCATGGCTTATCAGACAGAGATAAAGGCATTACTCCATCAGGGCAGAACATTTGATATGTTATTTATGTTGATGGGCAGTTCATGATTGCCAAATAATGTGGTTTGGAAGGAAGTAAGTGATAAGTTTGCATGGATAGTTCATTATGCTTGCTCTAACTTGTCTGAAATACTAAGAGAAAGGCAACTTGACTGAAGCATGTCACTCAAAATTACAAACTACCTTACTCTATATGGTACCAAGCTATTTATAATACAGTGCATCCAAAATAATTCTCATTTATTACTATTTTCTATGTACAAAATATGGAGAGAACATGCAAAATACCTCTAAAGAAGTACTGACCTCCTAAACAACTTAATCCCAATGAAAGCAAATCTACAGAACAGTGAAGGACTACAAAGACTAATGTTTGTAATGATCTGGTCAGTTACAGTGATCATTCCTTCTTTTACTAACAAATTATATGACAAGTTTTAAATGTTTATTTAAGATAACTTGTTCTTAGGATTTGATTTGTAAATAAAGTAACTGATACAAATGTAAAATGGAAGGCAGAGATCTCTAACCTAAAGTCAGGAAGATAATCATGTAATTCCAACTTGCACACATGTTTGGGAACCAACAGCTAACATGATTTGTTAGTTAACTACTAACAACTCTGTCATGAAAGATATTTGGGATATGGGTAAAGAAATTGAAAATCTTCAAACAAATTACCATGGCTTTCCATATGAAGATTCAAACTTATTGAGCAGATCTGCATATTTTACATTGTAAATTCTTTTGAGCAATGTCAAACTTCTTGGGTGAAAATTAAGGGGGGGGGGGGAATTAGAAAAAATCTCTAAGACTTTGCACTGAGCTGGATAATACCATACAAACAGAAACAAATTTATACCAATAATTTTCGTAGTCAGCTTTAAGAAGCTATCTATGCAAGTCAACCCTGCTTCTAGAAAGAAGAAATAAATACAACTTACAACCCTAAACCAAGTTGCAGCTGGCCTCAAACAATGTACACAATGAGTCATTTTAAAATTACCCTCTTTTTTGAGCTAACTACATACAAAAATAATGGTACTTTTTATTAGCCAGTGAGACTGTGCTTTATGATCAACTACTGTACGATAATAATTGTTTTTGATTCACCCTAAATGGCCCTCCCAACATCTTTATACTAATACCACAGCATGAATATCAGAATATGGAAAAAGATATTCTGACCGGATCTGACATGACAGTGAGGGCCACAGTTTTGATCACATGCAGACCTCATTGTGAATTACTCTCTCTAAAACCTATCCTTATTTGGTGAATTTTTCAGAACTTCTATGGCCAGTCATAACCAGAGTAATGTGTGTGGATACTCTCAAATGCTTTCTCTAACAAACTGAATGAAGTACCTCCCTCATTTCTTTCTTTTACTCCTAAGCCTACTAAACATACTAATATTCTTATTAGCCAATTTAAATAACTATTTCACACACTGTACAATACATTAATTAATTTACAAACAAATTTGCCAATTCCTGAATTTGCTGCTACTTTTAACTTAACTACATTTACCACCTTCCTCTAAAACCCTGCTTGCAGTGTCTCCTATAAAGTTGTATATGTTATTCCACAGGGCAAAAAAACGGGTTAGTTAAACAAAATCTTGTCCTTCACTGCATCAATTTAATATCCACCTTGCATGTGAGGTTGGTACTTAGAGAAAAATTTTAGTAAACAATGAACTCAAGACAAGTTTGCATTAGAAAGGAGCCTTTTTTGACAGGCAATCTTGATGCAGTGACACAGAGCTGCAAGAGGGCTTGATATCACTTCTTTTTAAGTCTGCTGTGTGTGAGATAAGCCTCCAGATACAACCCCACTCCATCTTAATTGTCACGTGTCAAATCTCTCTGTCTTTGGGACAACACCACCTGGGAGTGCTGTTGAGGGCCCTGGGACATATTTCCTGTCCTGGACCATTGGTACTGATTGCATCGGACCTGCCACACTTGGACCCGGAACATTCACTAATCCTGGACTGAATAGGTCAGGGCGGTTTGGAGGGAGAGGGTTAACTGGTGACTGAGGTGTTGGAACAGCAGGTGGAGGGGGTGATGCCATAGGAACAATACTTGCTGCATCCAATTGTTCAGCAATGTTGGTACCTGATAAAACAAACCATCAGAAATTACATCTTGTTCATTTTGACTGTAAATAGGTAGTCTATCAATCAGCATCATTAATTTCATGATTAAGGTAAAGTCTGTACTCCGACAAGAGCTTATCTCAGTTTCCTAAGTATGAAGTGACCAGAAGTATCATAATTCCCTCCCTGGATGAGATGCAAGTCCATTGCAAGGTTGCCCCCCCCCCCTTGCATTTCATCAGGCTTCCCTGACAAATTGCTGGTACCCATTCATACTCCTGGGTGAAGAGAGGCACTGTTTTACCCAAGCACACAACACGTTGACCTGGCAGGGTCTTTAACTCAGACATCTCGACCCTGAGTCCAGCCTATTAACCATTGAGCAGCCATGTCTCCTGACAATTTTATGTTGAGTAGTTACTCATTTCAATCTAAGATTTGGATTACAGTACACTATTTGAATGAAATAGTAAAATTCTCCATACAGTTATTTTCTGTAAGTAATAATATCTACTGAGAGCAGGAAAGTTACTGATTCTTACACATTTTAAAAAATCTTTGTTAACAACAATTACCAAGAAACTAATTTTAACTTATTTAAGCCTGAGGTTAACTCTTCACAAGATTGTGGGCTGCTTATCTAGCAAATTCAGGTCATGGGATTGACAGCAATTCAGTCAAACTTGCCAAACTAACCTCCAAGTAACATTTCTGAAAGAAGGCTGTCAACTTTCACCATACCAAACAGCCTAGCAAACTGCACTTGGTCGATCATCTCTTTGGCTATACTCTGCATTGTTGGCAGCATAAGAAGCAATTCACCAAACTTTCCACGGCTGTCATACTGATCTTTAGCAATGTAATCTTCCAGCATTGTTTGAACTTCAAATCTTAAAGATTTGATTTTCTGAGAATCACTAAGTCCCTTGGCATCTACAAAGCACAAATTGTTATGATGTCAGTTCAGAGAATGTGGCATTGAATCACCTGACCATCCACTAATTGATACTTTACTCAATTCATCACTTGTCTGCTTAATATTGTATTGATATTGTAAGAAGAAAATCTGTATTGGTCACTCATGGGAGTTAAAGGTTACATGTTTTCTGCTCTCACCCTCTGGTTTTAATATTTACATCTGAGTTGTTGAAGTTTTCTTTTTTAAGCTACAACTTTCAGTTATTAAAAAAAAGATATTTATAACCAGTCACAATTTAGTCACATATGCCACATAATCCAATAACATATTTCTTTCCTTAACTGATTATCATTAGAGATTACAAAGATCACTGCTTATCACACCACTACCAATAAGCTTAACTCTGCATCACACTTTTACATTCTAAGAGGATCTATTTCATTAAATCACAGTAAATTTTCACAAGTCTATCACATGATGGGCATGTTCTCATGTCCACTGAATTAACTGGAGTATGACATGTGAAGTTATGAAAACCACAAGACATACAGGTAAGTAATTCAACTCTCACACAATATGAAAGGGAAAGTAAAAAAAGATTTTTATAGCACAAAAGCCACATGAATATGATCTAATGGGAAGAAAATGTTGATGACCAATATCAATTTTCATTTCAACAGCCATGGAAATAAAATTTATACTGAAAACTGCATTGATGTCTACTTTGGTTTCTTTTTGCTCATAGTTTCCTGCTGGTGCTTTAACTCCTTTTAAGAGTAATTTGCTAGTAATGCCCAGGCTTGCAAACAAGTTGTCTGCAGCTCGGTGGTAAAACATCATACAGAGAAATAAGAAGGTCTGTGTTGTTCACTTCCCTCTGAGAAAGTCCAAAATTTTCTTCATTGCATGCTTGTGATAAAACACACTATTTTCTTCATTTGCTCAAAATCTACCATGTCTCTTCTTTTCTTGTATGTTGGTTAATGTAATTTTTCAGTGCTTTAGCATGCTTCAAATTTTAAGACATACCAGGATTGAAGAATACAATAGCCTTAAGGCAAGCATGTTCTGTATCGTCAACATTCCACTCTTTCATTGGCTCAACCACTTCATCCAGTACACGAGTTGATATTCTCCGCACCTCAGCATCAGCCGCTGTTCTTGGAATGACAAGGTCATTTCCAAGTAACAAAACATCCTTTAGACTCATAGACCGTCGTGAAACACCCAATATTAAGTGTTCAGAGGCATGCGCCCTTAATAGGGCAACCTGATCATCAAGCATCAGTTCACAAAAGGCAGGTATGTGTTTGGCCCATTCCACAAGGACCAGGAGTTGTTGACGCATTGATTCACAAATGTCACTGTAGTTTGCCTCCTTATCCATGCTGAGGGTTTCTACTATTTAACATAAAATTCAGTAAAACTGATATTAGATAAAGTCAATTTTTGTTAGGGTAAAAAACAAATTTTAAAGAAGGGGGGAAAGTGAAAATCACTGTAATTGATGATCTACAAACAAGATTAAGTGATATGCCCCCACATTATATAAAAATGCACCCACCGATAGCAAGGCTCCAGGTGGGGGAGAAGGGGATAGAACTAGGTGTACATGTAATACCCCTGCGTGCATTTTCCCTCTCTCTCCTCCCCACTCCATCTTCCCCTACAAAACCATCAATTAAACCCATTAACTCCCATGATCTGATTGTCAATTCTCTCCTCTAGCTGCTACATATTTACATGTGAGTAAGTTACCAGAATTTGATATTAGATTAAGATAAAAATTCCTAAATTTGATTATTCTTATTATCTGTTTTCTAGATGACCTAAAACTGACTTAACGTAAATCGCTTATTTTCCTTTTTAGAGAAATTTGATATCAAAGGAGGGTGAACAAAAAAAACTACCTTTTCACCCCAACAGATCATAATAGAAGTTTTAATTCAATTAACTATGTAAAATCTGTAAGATTTAACTACTTGACCTTAGTATTGATCAGAACCTGAACTCTCCCAACTATCATAAAGTACATAATCAAAAATATAGATAATGAGAATTAAGAAAATTATCTACTGGTAAATACTGTTTGAATATACACCTGTAACAACTAGGGACCCAAGAAAGTTCAAGACAAAAAAGATATACACTTTACAGGTAAGGAAAGTTATCTCTCAGATATGGCATATAAAGGGCATTTACCTGGAGGTGAAGTTGCTGGTCGTGACAAAATCTCAGCTGACAATAAAACATCTGTGGTGAGCCCAAACTTGCTGTCCACTTCTTCCCCACGTGGCCTTTTTGAAATTGTGTCCCTCTCATTTTGAACAGCTACAAAAAAGTGAAATTTCTATCACCTTTAGGATAATTTTATACCTTAAACTCCCATGATTGACCAACAGAAAATTTCTCCTTTCAATATCAATGCAATATCAAACAGGAAAGAGATAAGAAAAAGAATAATATTAGTTAGGAGATTATTAAATGATGCAATACCAAATTCTTCATACTAACATCTTAAGAATTGTAGGGCAGACAGTAAGGATAATCACTGAATGAGATCTTGGGATTTAAAGGGTTAACATCTTAGCAAACTTTTGTCTCGCTGATGTGGACGGGGTAGTTTTCACAGAGTGGCAAGAAGACAAGAAAAACTAACGCATTATTTAAAACTTTTAAGTTGTTTAGTGGCTGGATATGTCTCTGTAACACTATAATTGTGTGAATATCTTATCATTAATCTTTATATTTTACTTTCTTAATTATTTTTGTTAACAACTCATCTGGATTGAGCTTTTAGCTCATAGGCGTTAAAAGTAGAAATAAAAGATTCATTTTTACACTGATTGATTGACAACTGTTAAATACAAATGAAAATAAACTTGCGACTGAAGTAGACCCTTCAAGCCAGGATAAAATCAGAGCTCATGAAAATGAAAGCCTTAGAATATGGGACCACGGGATTTTTAGTAATTCAACAAATAATATACAATTTGCTATTTAGGAGTTTCTCTAAGTTTGTTAGCGCCCCACTGAGACAGTCTGAGAGAAAAAATTCAGAACCAAATAAAAAAGATTAACAACCCTTTTTCTCACAGAATGATGTGTTTCAAACACTGTAAACCATTAAGATAACAAGAGTCAGGAAATAATTTTGCCTTATTGTATCAGCAAATTCTCAGTGCTGGTCAAAAAAATATATGTTTACCACTAAGAAACTCCATTTCAATATTGGAAATGAAAGAGTTAAAGCACAAAATCCACCTTACTGTCAGAGAGATACTTGAACTGAGGACCTCTATATCAAAACTGTGACACATGACACCTCAGCCAAGCTGCCATTTGATGAAATGACTGATGTTAACACAAACTTGGTAAAAATCTCTGATGCCACTGTAGCAATGATATTTTAGTTCCTTTTTTTAGATCTACAGCAGTTATATCCTGAATACTTCAGTTAAAATTTTTCAGGCTTTTCGATTCTAATCCCTATTAATCTTTTTAATCCTTAATGGCTTTGTTATTTAAGATTTATACTCCTCATTTTGATGGGGTTTTTTTTTCTTGCAAAACAAGAATTTTGGGCACAGAAATAATTTTTCGTGTCGCAGAAAATAAACAACAACACTCCTTTAAATCCCAAAAGAGATTAACAAGCAACTTCTCCTTGCCATGTCAATATATTATTCAGCAGCTGGAGAGCTACAGATGGTTATCTTGACCAAATTCTTTTTTCTAAATCACAAAGAGATATAAGGCATTCAGAAGGGAGAATTATTCCTCACATGTTAGAAGTTGGAAGGTTGAATACTCTACTTTACTGATTTTTCTGACTGTTCCTGAACCTACATACTGTCACCTTAAAGGCTGTTAAGAACTTGTCATAGACATAGAACAAAGAAAATATCCAAGTTCTCAACAAGGTAGATATTAACATCTCTCTGGTATTTGTTTAAGAGGAGGCTGCATACTTTAAATCTTACGCACTATCTTTCTGATACATTAATTTTTTTTTCCAGACCAGCTACATTGGTAAGAAGTTTTCAGTTGTAGTGGAAGAGTTTAAACCAAAATAAACAACACAACAGTTTGAATCAATGGATGAAAAAAATGTTTGTCAATTTTGAGCATTAACTTAACAAAAATTTGTCTTAACTATATGAAGGAAACTTGGTGTATGTGAACCTCTGTAGCTCAGTGGTAAAGCTTCTAACAGGAAATTACAATGTCTGAGGTTTGCATAAAAAATGAATCACATTTTGGCAGTTGAATGAAAAGTGATCAATTATTCCTTAACATTCCACTTAATAAACAGACTCCATGCTGCTGTGTGTCTGTTTAGTAATGGGTCACAGATGACGTCAAAATGTGGTATGAACAAACAAGTGGTAAACAAGGCACAGACCCACATGTCACTGATGTTTTTACCACACTTTGACATCATGTTGTTGACGGCAACATGGAATCTACTTGTTTTATTTAACAAAGACGCAAATTTTTTAAAAAAGAAACATCAGCTATGCGTCTGTCCTCCACTAGATCAAACATTAATAAAGACCAATCAAAATTCATGCATTTTTCTGCTGATATAAATTTGCACCTTCAAGCCATTTTTTCAATGAACATATTATAAATTGGATGTCATCCTTAGTGGTTTGCAATGAAATTTGAGCAAATAGACCTTAATTGTTGATTTCAACAATGTAAACTTGTAAATTTACAAGAGGGGCTATGCCTCTACTTTTTTAATCTAAAAATTCAGTTCTCTCTTTGGCTGCATATCACGTGCTGTATTACCCCTCTCAAAATAAAACAAAATTCTGCGATTTCAAAATATCAAGTGAAAGAGGGCCATTGGTCGTTCGCAAACATTGTGTAAAGTGTTGATTTTAAAGCGTTGGAGTCCATTTTAAATATTATTAGAAGCTAATACACAAAGTGGTTTGGATTTCTTTATACAAAATACAATAAATTTTGAAGTAGTAACGCAATATAACTTTGCGTCTGCACGAAATCTCAGCGTCAAACGGTGAACATCAAGACTTTTTGGTAGACTGATTCAGTGAAAAATATATATAACTTTGAATCCGCTCCGATCAGTTTTTTGTTTTAAATATATTTGTATATGTAAACTGAAGATATACGATGTGCTTTTGTCCTTAAACCGTGTCCCGGGATTATTTTATTATTTTCAAGATCTTCCTATTTGCATTTCGACAACAAATTGTCGACACGCGAAGTTGCTTATTAAAAGATAGAGCCGGTACTCGCTTCGACGAGATTTATCACTTGAAGAGAAATTAAAATGCTTATAATATGATAAAAGTTCTGAACAGAGTTGGGTTACAATGGCACCAAAGGGTTAGCTTCTTCTCAAACCATAGTATTTGTAAATCACATAAAAGCAAACGTCAACCTTTGTGAAGAATTTACGATTGAGCACGTATATGGATTACGTCGAAAGCAATGGCTGAGCGCGATGAATAGATTTTTCTCACCTTCTTTCTTCATGCCAGCCCGAAAACATTTTCTCAACCGACAGTAGCGGCACTGATTTCGTTTGTCCTTGTTGATCACACAAGCTCTTTGAAAGCGACAGGCGTAAACATGATTCTTTCTTACGCTCCTTCGGAAGAAACCTTTGCATCCATCGCAACTCGACGCTCCATAGTGCTTGCCTGTAGCCTTGTCCCCACATATCAAGCAGGCCCCGTTGTCAGCATCGTCTGCACGATAAGAGCAAAGCAGGAAACAGTTAAACAGCTCACCTGTGATTATTTTGAATGTGCGTGATGTAACAAACACGATCTGCAAGCGATCATAGTTGTTTATTACCGCTTTTGCTCGAGCTCTCGGCCTGCTTCACACCATTCAAAAGCTTGTCGGTCATTGACGACGACAAGAGTGGACTTTATCCCTAGAGAACACTGTGTTCCGAAACGGAACCCTCTACGTTATATTTATAGCCAGTGAAATTGTACTTTGAACTCGACGGGTCTCCGGTTGAGTTTGGAGAAAATACGACTACTCATGGCTGCCACGCATCGGAGCAGGCTTATCATAAATGAAGGGTGGTTCTTAGGATGTCATGTGACCCCAATGCCTAGCACGAGATGGATGCGAGATGTCGATTTCGACCCGATATTGACCGAGGTCAACTTGAAAACAAAGCAATTTTTTCGATTCAGGAAAAAAATAATTTTCCCTGGAAACCACATGTTTATTACCAGCAAATGTCTCACGCCATTTTGTCTGTGTTCCCTGCGCGACAACCCTTTTGCGTCAAGGGCAGGGGGTCTCCGAAAAGTTCTAGAGAAGACGACAAAAACCCAGCTGTAGGAAATGTGTGAAATAGTAAAGGTCATTCGAGGTCTCGGCTTCAACACTAAGTGAACAACTTGTCAAAATCGTAATAGGTACTTCACGTAAAATCAACAATGATTTTGGTTTCAGATTGGCAACTTCAATTGCAATTTCGGCAAAATTCCGTCATTACGTACCTTTGTAGTTATGTCGAGTCCAATCACGAGTTGTCTTACTGCCACGTTTTTAGTACAATTCAACGCCCAAGTATGGCTCTCGCCTCGGTCGTTTAAGGTCAATTAAGGAAAAACAACTATGATTAAAAGCCAGTAGATATGATATCCGTCATGTCTCTTTATTACCTTGGGGTAAGGACAGATGCGGTGAGACAAACTAATATACAGATTGTCTATCAAACAAGCCGTTAGGCCGTTAAATATCCACAGGTTTCTCTCCAGCTGTGTCATAGACAAATTAAACACGAATAAACATTAAAGGATTTTGTAATTTTTAAAATCCTAAAATAGCTAATCTTCTTATCTTATTCTTTATAGGCACGTGTATTTTGTATTTATCTAAGAACAATAGAATATTTAAACAGAAAAAACAGCGAATATAAAAAAATTGCTTACGGTAGCAAGTTTCAGATCAGCAATTGTTTTATCTGACTTCCTGGTGATTCGAAGTCACTTGCGTAAGAGTTTGGTTTATCAAATGTTTCACAGATGGAAAAAATTTTATAATAGAAAAGAAGAGAATATTAGATACTCACAGGGATAGTGTGGCGCAAGTTCATTCAAGTTTATATAAACACACCCCCACCCCCACTCCCTCCCCGGAAGTGACATGGTTTTGAAAGAGGAAGTAAAATATTACCTCGAATGTTTAATCCCCTAGGATCGGTGAGATTACATCACCCCTTATCTATATACTCTTAACTCGCTCGCCTCTTGTTAAAACAAAATTAAACCTATGTAGTATTCTGAGTAACATTCAATTGTCAGCCTAACATTAATAATAGAAGTTACGAAATTTCAAGTCAAATGACTCGAAAGATTTATAAGTTAAAGTACAATTTTTAAGCCGTGCTTTATACAAAGTCCACATGGTACCATCTTGAATAGAAAAACATAAGAAACAATGCCTCCCTTAAGTGCCATCAAACCTGTCAAGGCAAATACTGACTGACAACACTCATGAACAATCCTCCAAAGCGGATGTTTCATTTGAGGTTGATGCAACCCCACAAAAAAATTTTCCTCGGTGAAGATTGCTTGAAGAGTCCAATCACGAAATTTTTAGAGGCGCATGCAACCTTCATTTTTCGATCGATTTTCGGCTCTTTCGGCATGATGTACCTGCAAATTTAGTAATGATGATACTACAGCCAGATCTTTCACCAAGATTACATCATGTTTCGGGTTTTAAATATTTGCAGATTTCAATTGCAGATCGTCCTCGATCCAGAAAACTAAATTTTGTCGAAAAATCTGGCAAATTAAACGCAGCAAAAATTTACCTCCTTCAGTTATGAAAATAGTGTCAATTCGTGTTCTTTGGATGCGGACCCACTCGAAATATCGATGTATTCGATATATAAAAGTATTGGGCCTCTTTCAATATTTATTCTATTATACTTGATTAGTAATGCTTGATCAGCAATTTCAGCTATCTCCAATTGCAAAACGTTTTTCCCACAAAGCAATAAGAATCCCTATCACGCCAAAAACACACTGCTGTACAATTTTTATACTATCCACTATGTGTCAATTCTCTTCTGCCAGGTAATTCCCTTGGCCCGCCTCTTATTGCTTTTATACGCGAAAAAAAGTAAATTTATTTTCTTTGTTATTAATCGTGGAAGTAGGGGTACAACTTTATTTTCACCCGGTGTTTTCATTCATGTAAAAACTCACAATTATTTAAAAGGATAAAGCAAACTAGCTGCTAGTTTGAAACTAGGAAAAGCTAACAACTTATTGTCAGTATTAGTTAAACCTGCATTACAAGGATCCCGTGTATAAACAGTATATCAAATAACTAGACAGATGCGTTCCTCAATTCATCTCAAACTCATTTAAGGAGTTCGATTTATTTCTGTCGGTAAGCTTTTCTCTCGCACCTCCTTGCTGCTTCGGCTAACACATCTTTTACAATGGTTAATAAGTGGCTGAGGCGTTGATACCTTGTATTCAGAATTTCTAAGATTTTAAGGGGGGTTTCGTTACGCTGGAAAACCGTGAACCTAAATTGATATTTCGAAGTCTGCGGTTAATGACTTTGTACAATAATTGCTACACTAACGGCCCATTTCTCCCCGATGATGCAGCCGCACATCTCCCATTAAAGATTGCGTGTATGACTGACTTTCGAGTCACGAACTAGTGAAATACCCCTTGCAACTTGTCATTATTTCGAGACTGTTCTCTTTCATTAGCTTTACTGATTTTGAATGATTATTAAATGTCGCCGCGGTATCTTTCATCTTCTGCGTCTGTGCCCCCCTATAAAGAGTGCAAAAAGTCAATCGTATGCCTGACGGACATCGCTAACCACAAGCGGAAAAACAATTTTGACAACAATGAAACAGAATAAATATCAAGTGAAAGAGGGCCATTGGTCGTTCGCGAACATTGTGTAAAATGTTGATTTTACAGCGTCAGAGTTTATTTTAAATATTATAGGAAACCAATTAACAACGCGGTTTGGATTTCTTGATACAAAATACAATAAATTTTGAAGTGGTAGCGCATTATAACTTTTCATACATCGGTGTAAACATCAGCAGACCTCATACATAGTGCGTATTCTGGGCATGCTGTTCTTGATTTTTAGGGGGTCTTCTCTATTTGTATTTTTTGTGTGTGTTTAGAGCTTTTTCCGGGCTCTTTTGAGGTTCGTATTATTGGTTAAAACTAACAAAAAATATTTTCCGTTGAACGTAACACTCTTTTTTTTTTTGAAACGGGAAAAGCAAACACAATGCAAAATAATTGCTATTTTTATATCTTCTGTTTCCAAAAACAATTCATTAAAAAATTAAACGAAAAGTGCTGAATAATGGATTTTTTTAAGCAAAACGTGATAGATGCCTATCAAATATTACTCAGAAATCAAGATTAAAAATACCTAAATTTTTTCCTTTATACGTTTGCCAAGGCTTTTCTCATAGAAGGGCTGACTTTGCTGTTGAAAGCCAAAGACGCACGAATTTTATGCGTTTACGAAACCTGTTCAACAGAATAAACCATTTTTGGTTGTTTTTTACATGTGAAGATCTAAAACATAGTAGCAACATAAACAGATTTTTCATGGACCCCCTACCACTGGGAAAGAAGGGAAATTGCCAAATTATTCGCCTGTTTTTTTGGCCTAAGGAAGGAGAGCTTCTTAGGAAAAGGCGCGTCTGCAAGAGAGGTACTTCACCCTTCCTCCTCCCCCACCCCCCACCATACAAATCTTTGTGACTTTTCATTTGCAAAATCGCATTTTCAGACCCGAAACCACACCAGACTCAATAAAACACCGTAAGACGACTACCAGTTGGTAAAAACTGGTGGCTAAATAAGAAAATCGATAGGAAATGGCTCTTCATACTAGCACCAACATAAGCCCCGGCTACTCTCTCCTCTCTAGTGGGTAATTTATTTAACATCCACACGGTAGGGAGCCTTGGGGAGAGTTCTCGAACCGATAACTGTTTCTCTGCAGAGGTGAGTAAACTTTAGCTCTGATTCTTATAACTTAATCAGTTTGAATGTTTAACGTTGTGCCTCAAGCGGTATATTAAGCGTTGAAATTTTGTTTTAAGTGGTTATAAGGGAAAAAACTGCAGAAGTTTTTGGACATTTTTGTGGCAGAAAATTTACATGTTGAAGTCAAGTACTTATCGATCACTCGAAATCGTTAACACCATTTAAATTTTAATGTCGTTTGTCTACAGAGAACTCCATAGGAACCATATTCTGAGTCGTTAAACATCACAGTGGAAACTTTCATTTGCATTTACGCAGTGATATCAGAATTTTGTACAGGTGAACTGTAAAGCGCTGTATTTCATCCACTAATATGGCGCAACGGGATTGATTTGTGTATGTTTACAATCTAAACTCTCATATTATGCATATTTGCTCTCGTTAAACTCACAACTTTACCACTTGTTTGGAAAAGCAAGGCGAGGATAAAAATGCCCATCCTCAAAGTCTTTCATCGGGGTTAGTGCGTGTCGAAGGAATTACCGAATAGGTAATTAATTTTATACACATAAAATGAATAAAATTATCAATATTGGCATTGGGAGTGGTTTGGGAGGGAGGTGGGTCGTGCTGACATATAACGGTCATCAGAATTACCCGCAGAATGATTGTTAAGTGGAGAAAGAGAGTAAAAATAAAAAAAGGCAACTTGCAAAGAATTATTTCATTTATTTACTTGTTATCTATTTTGTTTGCTGGCCCCCAATATAATTGTCAAAAGACTTCTTTACAGATTGATTGAAAACTGCTAATTTTGATTTTTCAGTTGGCTTTCCCTTCTAAATTGAATTATCAGTGAAAATCGTCAATTTATGAAAATAAATCTGTGATTTTAAACAATCAATCTCCATATTTCTCTTCATTTATTTTCAAATTTTGAGTGATCATGATTGCCTTGATTCCATGTGTAGTAATATCACTTAAATGTATTTTTTTCCCACTGCTGTACTACCTTGAATTTGCATCACTAATACATTAATTCTTCCCTGCTATCATCCACATAATC